GTATAATACCACTAACAAACAGAATGAATCCATACAATCAGCATTTACTGAGTTTGAGAACATCACCATTCATTATTTAGAGTATCAATTGAAACTCACTCGGCTATGCCATTCAACAATTAATCAACTAGGTTTGTGAATAAACGCGGCAGCTTTGGAAACCAAGCACCCCCAAGTGATCAGTTTTAAATTTGTCACCATAAAATCTGCGAAACATTTTAGCAACTAGAGACGGGTAGGTGTACAGTGGGTATTACGTCGCTATGTTAATATCCTCGGGGAAAGGCACACCTTAGAGATGGGTCATCTGACAGAGTATTCCACCACTATATGGTTAATGTGAATACTAATTATCATAAAAGCATAGTGAGAAAGTGGTAAGAGCTAGTTTGTTCACTCGCATCCAAAAGCTAGATATGTGTCAACTAAAATCTACAAAAGGGTTCAACACTTTTAATTAAAAGTAATATAAAATACGAGTATCTATGTATAATGAGACTTAAACAACTGTGAATTGACACTCAACAGAGATTTCGAATCAAAACTGCAGCAAGGACTGCATGCACAAAAGGTGGCCCTCCAAAGCTATTTTTCCCAAGCACTGAGTCTATCATGCATACTCTACAGACTTGCTGAAACAGGGAGAATTTCAGTATATTTTGGGTTCTTGATGGCGAAGAACTTGCTGCGATAGCCACGAATTTCCAGTTGAGGTGAACGCTTCAAATTTGAAACCTACAAGGCATCGTCTGCTGAAAACTACCAATGTGTAACGATATTTGACCATGTATATGATGTAAACAATAAGGCACGTCCATGTAACGAGTCGTTAACCCTGTTAATAATTTCATTGCGTGGATATTGCGTGGAAAACCTCGTGTACCGGTACAAAACGTAATCTACATATTGAATCACTGTGTGTGTGAACAGTTTCATGCATGTATACAACATTCATCGTGCTTTGATTGATCAGTAATAGGCCAGTGCACTGTAGCTGTGACCGACAACAGAAATCAGTCCTCGCATCACACTTTGTGAACACGCAAATCGTGGACAGATATTGACAGTTTTGACAGTATTATCTGACAGTGTATTGTTAGTTTTTATATCATGTTTAGCTGTCTTATGATAGAAGCAGCATTTACGGAGAAATAGTTGTTACCAGATATAGATAGTATCACTTGGCATGTTGGCATATCTCCCAGCTTTAGTTTCATACACATTGTGCAATAATAATAAAAACCTTCATTGGGACCATTAGCCATTGGATTATTATTTGAGCCCCTCCCATTTATAGTTTATAATTTTAGCTGGGATGTACAAACAAACATACACTTACAAAATATAATAAATGAGTATTTGAACATGGAAAGATAGACATGACATGCCAAAAATGGCGGCCAACTTTATGTGCAATAATCTGAACTTTCTAGAAAACAAAGTGAAGATTCAAAATGAAAAGTACATGTAGAATCTTGAAATACGGGTTTTTGTCAGGTATGAGTGTGTAATCTAGTTCCGGGAGATACAGACCTAGGAAAACCTGCTGAGATGCTGAAAAAAACGCTTTGTATACGCAGATAATGATGTGGCTTCTTTAGCGTTCATAACTATTTTTTTTTGAAAGCTGTAAAACAGAAAGTTAGAATTTCCACTCGCATTTGTGTCATACAAGTTTATCAAAAGTGTTATTTGTAATATATCCATGACATATCTTTATAAATAATATTGTCTTACTATCCTTCCCCCGTAAAATGTCAACAAACGAGACTAAGTACTTACAAGTGCAATTTAGTGCAAGAATCAGGATGCAGAGCGACCATGGTACAACAACCAAGCGATAAATTACAATCGCATACATACTAGACGAGAACAACTAAATACCATATGCCATGAGCTTCCACCTTGGATTTCTAAAATGTACCGGCTTTCACGCTTTCGAGTTGCTATAGTGTATAGGACGTTAACGTTTTAAAGCTTAAATATTTGCTTTAGTATGGAGTTTTTGTCTGTTTTTTTAACAATTTTAATTGTTGAAATTTAAATTTTAATTTATACGTTGTAATTTTTCAGGTGTTCTTATTTTGGCATTCATAAAAAGATGTCAGATGTCAGACGTACTGGTGAATATAGATAATCTGTTAAATTCTTTTAAAAGATTCATCTCATTAGTAAATAGCGGCCTCACTCAACAATAATTAGAATGAGTTGGTTGGTCAAAAGTTTGATGAGTCAGGTGCATCTATTGGCTAAGCTTGTTGTACATAGATGCAAATGAGTATATGAACCATTAATGCTGTAGGGGTGGAAGATTTCATGTTTGTTACTAGTTGTAATGTGTTGCTTTCTTGGTTGTTCAATTATGGCTACAATGTTTGTGGTGGGTGGAAGATGTGTTTATTGGTTCATGAGTCATTTTTAGACACCCTGTAGCTTGAAATGGTATGGTTCAAATCTGATATGATATCAAGCTTGATATGGCGGTGTCTTCTAAAAACATGGCTTCTGTTTATTTATTACTGTTGTAGATCCTGAGAACGAGCCACTGAATATGATGTCGGGAATAAATGGTAGTCTGAACAAGCTTTATTAATAATTGCTGGCAATATTCCAATATGAATTGGGAGTAAAATGTGACACCAAATCTAGTCGTTGTATTGTTATGCTTTTTCAAATGTCTTGATACAGATTCAAATATAAGGATATGGATTGTAAAATATTAAGATAAAATGGTATCCAAAATATTAATTTTATATGGTAAATATATTTTAAAGAATTCAGGAAAAATATAATAAAATAAAACAAATTAAATAGAAATATTTTGTGTATTTTTGTATGTGGAAACTTGGCTGGCCAACTCAAAAATACTTCAACACTAGATGTGATTCACTATATATAATTGGATTGTGAGATTATTTGGAGGATTATAACCCAGGTTAAAACAAAAGAAATATTGTAGTTGCCTGTCCCTGTCTTTCTAAGATCTATGCTAGAAGAACAGTACGGAAACCCACTTGCTTCTTTTGTAAGGATGCGTGTCTCGGTAAACAGTCAAAACAAATGTAATTGGCATACTGTCGACGTTATGGCAATCGTTATTTGCATAAAATTACATATGCTTCCGAAGACTTTTCTATCCATTTTTTTTCGTAAAAAATTTTCTCGAATTATGCAGCACCCAGGGTTCAGTGGAAATATTAACACTGAAATGCAAAAAAAAAATGCTCTACACATGAAATCATATAACTTCCTATGTCACTTACACCCTGGAGCTGGCAGCGGTCAGGGAATAAAACAAGGTGGGCGAACGGGAACGAAAAAAAAGCCCACATACATAAATGAATTTATTGATTTTAATATTCTCAATAATAAACAGCTTTATATGTTGATGTATTTTGCGCTTTTACTAGATACACTTTTTAAAAAGTGCTTTTACTAGATACACATTTTAAAAAGTGCTTTTACTAGATACACATTTTAAAAAGTGCTTTTACTAGATACACATTTTAAAAAGTGCTTTTACTAGATACACATTTTAAAAAGTGCTTTTACTAGATACACATTTTGAAAAGTTTTTTTTACTAGATACACATTTTAAAAAGTGCTTTTACTAGATGCACATTTTTAAAAGTGCTTTTACTAGATACAGATTTTTAAAAGTGCTTTTACTAGATATAGATTTTTGAAAAGTGCTTTTACTAGATATAGATTTTTGAAAAGTGCTCTTACTAGATATAGATTTTTGAAAAGTGCTTTTACTAGATATAGATTTTTGAAAAGTGCTTTTACTAGATATAGATTTTTGAAAAGTGCTTTTACTAGATACAGATTTTTGAAAAGTGCTTTTACTAGATACAGATTTTTGAAAAGTGCTTTTACTAGATATACATTTTGAAAATTGCTTTTACTAGATATACATTTTTAAAAGTGCTTTTACTAGATATACATTTTTAAAAGTGCTTTTACTAGATACACATTTTTGAAAAAGTGCTTTTACTAGATACACATTTTTAATAATGGAGTGATGAACACATTTCAATACGTGCTCCTGGTGGAAAAACTTTTCAAAATGTGTATCCAGTTAAAACACTTTTTAAAATGTGTATCCAGTTAAAACACTTTTCAAAATGTGTATCCAGTTAAAACACTTTTCAAAATGTGTATCCAGTTAAAACACTTTCAAAAGTGTTGTGATAATGAACACTTAAAAAACACTTTAATTATGTGTTTAATTATAAAACACTTAATGGCAACAACAATGTGTTATATTTTAAAACACTTAGATCGGCAAAGTAGACTGACATACAATCACATGATGATAATGATTGGTGTCATTGGTGTAATTAAATCAGTTAACTAGAAACATCAGAACACGGGACGCCGTTTTAATACATATTTTGCGCATTGGCCCGGTTGCCAGCTTCAATTAGCAGCTGTCTGCGAACGCTTTTGGTGTAAACAAATATTCGAGAAATTTTATATCATATATTTGCAAATAGGGAAATAGTCCATCAACAATTTCACAGGACTCAATGAAGGCCTTGAAAATTTCCACAAACAGATGCCAATAGTTGGTTTTAGATAAAATACTCGTTACTCATAGGAAATATAATAAATAAAATATAAATGTCAAATAAAATGTCATTGGTCTTACTATCCAAGTTCTTGTGGCGGGGCTTTATCCATTACTTATACAGAAGTACTGTACCACAGTTTTATATGTCAGAGTGTGTGTAGAGGATGAACATCGAATAAAGATGGCGAAATATATTTTTAGTGTAAGCCATGTATGAATGTGTTAATTATGACATACACTTTTAGAGCCAATCTCCTACGTATATATCTGAAAAAGATTTATTTCATAAATAACTCAATGACCATTCCACACAAATACGAGTGATAATTGTTCACACAAACAATATGGGCTAAAACGTCTACTTTTTATAGTATTATTATTGAAGTTAACTTGAATATATACACTGGCATGCATAGTAAAACTTTTACTCTTTTCTGAACATAGCAGTTAAAGTAGGAATTTTCCACACCGCCCTTCCATCTTCAGTCTTCTCACATTTTGATCTAACATTGAGGAAAACGTCTTCCAAGAAATCTTCTTTAAAGTCATCAGGTAGACACTCCAGTTGAGGGAGAAAGCATCGAATAAAATCTGAAAATAGTACAGATGCGGCATACCGGTACAGTGAATAGTATAGTTGATATGACACTTCTTCAAATTAATTAATGTGTTCGTTACAATTCTCTGTGCAGTTGCCTGATATGACAATACTTGAAAAAAGATTCAACTTATCTGACATCATAGGTCATGATTTTTTATATTTTAATTTATCAAATGTATCGCTTCTCAGCTCCCAAATGCAGTCGTGCAAACTTGACCTGCATTCCATAAATACAATATAATAAACTACTGCTGTAATTGAGTCTTGAACCAATCAGTGCATTAATGCGAATTTCGGCAGTTTTAACAGATATTCACATTCTGATTTGAGATTTAGTTAATACTGATTTACATGCATAACTAACATGAGCTGCCATAGACAGGTAGTAGTCAAACATCAGTAACTTGTGTATATTATCTCTAAAAATGTAATTCTTACCAATATCTGTTTTATCTGGATTTCGTCAATTTGAAGCTTATTTTCCTTGTTCAATTTTTTGTTCAATTCTCTGTTTTTTTCTTCACACCATAATTCGTCTCATTAGGTATCACTTACCCTTTGCCTGCAAATCAGTATCAAACTGGAAGAAATTTAACGTCTTTTCTACCTCGACTTTGACATCAACAAAACCAGCTTTTCTGAGAATTGCATCGAAATCTTCTTCATTGCCTTGTAGAGGATAGTGTTTATACTGGAATCCCTATAATGTTGAATACATAAATGGTATTTTGGTTAGTGAAAATTATGAAAAGCTACATAAGAACATAAAATTTGAAAGCCTTGAGTTTTTCAGGTATTCATAGAAAGTAACGAATATTGCACATAGATTATATTGATTATTATATTTTTTGCAAGATTTCAACTTTAGATACATCAAAGCACCAATATGAACACAACTATTGGTATTATATAAATGTGGGTTATACACATTTGAATATAATTTGCAAAACTGGGACTCAAATAGCAAATTGCTGCCGATATCTCGTTGAATGCAAGAGTTACACCAAACTTGTCCCTGCCCTTTATATGATAGTGATCCATTCTTTTTGACATGGTCACTATTGTTTTAAATGAGATCAGGTGAAAAGTAGCGCGATTATGAAAAAGACTGACAATTATTTGTGGTGCGAGTTTCGGGGCTATAGTTCTCAATGAGACTTGGGTGGTAATTTTACACACAATGTATTATCACTGTAAGGTATACACTAAAATGCTGAAGCAGAAATCAGCTTTAACAAATCATTATTTGTGTATACATTTACATGTGGCAAAGAATCATAACATGAAATGTTGAAACATGATTAGTAGTTTTTTTTAACACGAAGACAATTAGTTTAAACCCTAAATTATATAATATACAACGCATATTTAATTGTATGTCACGTACGACAATATAAAACACTCACAACGAAAGTATCAGAGATGTTCAAGAATCAAATTATTCCATGGTTGATAGACGTCAGCAAAGTATTCACTAAATAGATGCGAAATACGATCAGTGTTTAACTAGTTTTTCTAGGCGATGTCATTGTGATCCTCACCTGGAAAATCCCGAGTCACAAAATGAATTTAACATTTGTCAATTCTGTAGGTGATTTTTTTTTCATTTCTCATTTTCTCGTTATGACCTTTAAAAAATATGATATAGTTTATTTTAACAGCATTCATGGACATAATGAATGACTTTTAGTACTCTACTATAATGATAGCTACTATTTTAGTATCACAGCACAATGGAACGATACAAACAGCCAGAACCAATCACTACTGAGAACCAAGCAATTTGGAGTTGTACATTTTGTTTGAGTCTCAAATAATTATATTCTTCGATACACTACACACGGTATTGACATGTTATGTACTCGACACTGTTATTATACCAAAGGCACGAATCATTGCCATATCACTATACATTCAAACGTGAATATACTAACCTTCACAAATTGTTGCCACCTTGGTAGCTGATAGGCAGCTTCATGTATTACATTTATAACTAATGCAGGTTCATCTATTGTTATATTTATATAGCCCTCCCCGCCTGGTTTCAAACATTCGTAGAGATATATTATAGTATCAGGCCAGTTAGGAATCCACTGCAGAGCATAATAGGCCAACACTTTATCGAACGAGTTTTTCCATTCTGACTTGAATGTCTCAGCAGCTCCGACATCACCCACAAGATATGTAATATTGTCAGCGTTGTTTGTAGATTTCGCGATATCGATCATATTCGAGTTGATATCTATTGCTGAAGTAGGTAAAAAAATGATGTCAAAATAAAATGTTGGATGAAGTGGAATGAATGTACAACACATTACAAATTCGGCACATGTGTATGGAATTATTTACATTAATTAATCATACTACTGATCAAATAATTGTGAATGGTACTCATAAATGATTAAACGTTAAACGGGTAATATAGAAACTTAAGCTATTGACAATCACAAGAAATTGCAATCATATAATTCCAGAAGCACTAGACAAATAAACGTCACGTATAAATGTGGAGCCATTGTAGACATTAAGTTTTTTCTCTATTGATTCGGAATCGGGAATTGTAACTAACACTTTAAGATTCTCTGTGTACTGAATATTCTCTGTTGGAGCTGTTGGTAATATAAATATACGGATATGGTGTGTAATAGTCTATATTATATTTCAGTGTGATGGCGTGGTGTCTTGACAGCTGGCATATCGAACATTGAATCCAGACATACAATAATACAACCATGTTTTAGACATTTCTAATTTTGACATCAGTCCTACATTATTAATAACTCACCTGTAGTAGACTTTAACCTGGCATTTTCAGTCACAAGTTTGGTTAACTCTCCTGATCCACAGCACACGTCGAGTAATGAATCTGACTCACTGAATCTCAGCCTCTGTAATACGTCGCTGGCTGAGATATGGACAAAACGACTTCTGTACCGTGGAAATGATGAGGCTTCTTGTGCGTTCATAACTGGCAGTGAGATTTAATGAAACAGGTCTAAAACAAAAGAAAAACATATGTGTTAGGGCTTTGCATAATAAATAAACAGAAGTAATAATTCCATGCATACCATGCGATATTAAAAAAACTTTTCTAATAAGACTACTTGGCCAAGTTGTTCAATGTTCTAATATAATTGTGGGTTTAACCCTCGACCAACATTTTGATAGTTGTGGAAGAACTCTGCTCGTCAGTTTCCTGACGCTGCTGCGTGCCTTGAACTTCTAATTCCCTTTGATACTGTGATTCTTGAGCAAAGGTGCAACGTATGGAGATGGAAAGGATACTGAGTTTTTTCTCAACTTTTGGAAAAGATGGTCACATCTATAATGACTGAGCTATTACAATTACTGATTGAGGTTCCGGGGCAAAAGCGGAAATTATTCATGAGAAAAGGACAAAGTATGTCTCTATTTATGTAAATTAACACACATTCAGCGCTGTACACATACGGTTAGAACAATTGGTCAGATAACTATACTAGTATGCAACCGATGTCATTGCATTTAATGGACAGGCTGGTTTATGTATACGTGGCTACGATATGTCACCTACCAAGGGTGTACTATGCTAGCAACGCGACAACTACTGCGTGTGCATGATTTTAGATAATTAGTGATTTTTGATTCACGGGTAAAATAAAACAAAAGCTCTAACATTTGTTGAATATTTAACTTAGAATAAAACCAGGTCAGTCACACTGATTCTCACTACAAGAGGTTACGAATCCACTGCCAAATTAAATACAGACACGTAACGTGGTGTGTAATATCAATCAAACAAACAAACAAACAAACAACGGCATTGAATGAGATGTATTGAAGTAGACACAGACATGAAACAACAAGATTAAACCAAACGACAAGTTGAATTACATAAGTGTAAAAACCTCTGAACCATAACTGTTTGAGATAAAGTTCACAAAAGAATTTGTAATTTTCCATTTTCCAGGGAATAGAGAGTGTCATTTGTGGTCCAAATGTATTCGAATCTGTCCTCCTGTTTCACAAGTTTGAAGTACTGTGGTACTAAGATTTAATTCTGCTGGCGAGTTTTGAGAATTTCCAACGGATCTACTAAAGAACCCCCCTCCCACTTATTCCGCCGTGAGATATGGATAGAGCTTTTGCAGTGATAAGGATAAAAAATATTCTCATACTGATGAGAAAGCAATCTACGTGAGTGGTGAGATGGCAAAATAACAAACCACCAAGGAGGGACCGTCAAACCAGGTTGTAAAAGATCAGTAGAAAATGCGAGAAATATAGCAACAGAGGGCGCCAATCACCAGACATTCAACAAAAATGTGAATGAGGGAATCCAGGTCACCCCAGAATCAGCAAAATTTGGCCCAATAGGAAAACCAGCGGTGGTGTATGCATGCTCCGTGCATTACACGCCATTGCCTCACGTTCTGTGATGGACGAGTCTAACACCCTTTGAAATTGGGTTTAATATCTGCAGACAATGCCAGTAGATCACGCCACACAGCGTCAAGTTTGTCCCGATGTCGAGTTTTGTTCATAACCGCTATGAGATATTTGTAAATAGCGCTTTTTTCATGTTTGTAAAGTGGCATCTGAGAAATGTAGCTGGAAACTGAGGTGACTAGATAAAGGTTGATTCACTGTCTTTTGATTTTGTATTAATGTATGCTTTTCATTTGCCAAGGATGGCATCATGTACAACAATCAAATTAAGGTCAAGTATGCGCCTGACCTTATTAACAAAGAATGCGCTAAGAATCCAGGCGTTATTTTCAATGTCAAACAGGTTACGTACCATCAAAACGCCTGCAGCGGCGAAGTTTTTTTAAATGAAACCGTTCATTCCGCACTGAATGACAAATATGTGGGTTGTAAAACAATGCATCAGCAAGAATGTCGGTGACGTTTGAATCAATAAAAATATGCTTCTTGTCAAGCGGCTTCCGACATCGTAGCAAGTCAGAGTACAATGCAGGTAAGATGATGAAATATAGTGTTGAGTTTAGTGCATAATAAGTGTTTGCCATACGAGAGATTACCGGCTCGAGTAAAAAATAATCAGTGAATTTTAAACACGGATGATGATAATCGGAGTATAAATACCGCTCGCTGTACGTATTCAGGGCGCATACTGTCAATGCGAGATGGTGACTTTGTGAGATTTTGCCTATTATTTTCTTTGGGCAAATACAAAGTTTTCTGCACCCATTGAAAAAATATTTATGAAGAAAGCAATTTGTTTATTACTCCATTTTGTTTTCAACTTTATGAAAACATGTGCTTGTAGATGTAAAATCTGTCGAAGCGTACGAGAGTGTTACCACGCCCCCATGTGAAGTTAGTATTGTTGCCATGATGATAAAGAGGTTCAATGGGTTACTATTAATTTTACCATGTGCATACAGCAAATGGCCAGATATAATTTCAGTGACAGATATGTTATTCACAGTTGAGTTTGGCGCAAATAAAATGGCTACGTCAGCATGATTAGTCGTACCATGAGAAAAAACGCCCCTTTCCTACCACACAACTTACCAAGCGTTTTCATCTCATGACAAAGAGTCGGTTTCTTGTAGAAAATATAAATTACTCCAATGATCACGCTTTAACAACTTACCGTAAATGCGCGGTACCTTTTCATTGCATCCCGGCAACGATTAATATTGAAAGTAGCGCCAGAAATGGATGCCATGGCAATAATTAAAAGTATACTGTCACAGTAGCCATAACAAATATATATATATATGCATTTGACAGTATACTTGTGAAACGCTAAAATTACGCTGTACAGCAATCTGTTGATTTTATGTTTTTTATGACAAATTCAGTGGTTATTATTTAATTATTTTGTATTTGTTATGTTTTTTGTTACGTACTTCGGTATATTTTTAACTATCGCCACATACATCTGAACCAATACCTATGTAACGAGATTTCAGCGAGACCTCTGACTGGTTTAGTCAATAAATCACAGACCTACTTCAATAGAGCACCTGATGACGTCACCGATCAAAGTCAGTTTTTGAAAACATTCAAAGCGCTCATTAGCCGGACTAATGTGAATTTTTACATGTGTGTGTAAAAGCTGACCATGAATAATATTTTTTGTGGTAAAACAACAATATGTGATTATTTGACTACTATTAATTATTCATGATGTCATTGATTATTCGAGAGTGGGTGTGTGAAAGTAAACATGACATTTAAAAGGTTGGGACACATTGCAAATGGCGGACCAGTCACGGAAACATGTGAATGTTCTGCTGCTAGTCGTATCTCGTAGTTTTGAACTGGAAATGTAGCTGACACGGGATAAAATGTTGCAACGTAGCGTAGTGTAGGCTAGAATTATGGTGGTAGTGGTGCTGGGGTTTAGTTATTTCACTCTTAAAAATGACAATGGAAATGTTATTCAAATTGTGGAGCTGTAATCTGATTCGGTGCCAGTGCGAGTAAACAACTTTTAATTAGCATTCTCACCGAAGTGATTCCTATTCGGTTTTCACTCATGTCTAAAAATGTCTAAGTTAGACATCTCTATTAGGGCCGTTCGTTTTTCTCCGATATTTTCGATAGTATCGATATTATCGTCTAATAATGCCTAACAATATCTAAATTAGACATCTCTCTTTGGGTAACTATAGGGCAATTTCGTTTTCCTCACGTATTTTATCGATAATATCAATATTATCGTCTAATAATGTCTAAAATGTCTAAGTTAGACATCTCTTTTTTTGGTAAGTATTGGGGCAGTTCGCTTTTCTTCGATATTATCGATAATATCGATATTATATATCTTTGGATAACTATTGGGTCAGTTCGTTTTTCTCCGATATTATTTATAACATCAATATTATCGTCTAATAATGTCTGAAATTGTCTAAGTGAGACACCTCTTTTTGGGTAACTATCGGCGTTTCAGTTCGTCGCGCCTTCATGCACAGGTGGTTCAATAAAGATAGAAAAATCCCCAATAACCATCCATCCCATTAGCACAGACCCTGTCAACACACTACACAGACGACAAGAAAATCACAACAGATTTGTTCAACCTGGAAACAGCAATAATGCTGTTGCGTTCGACTAAATCAGCCGCTGCTTCTACATATGTTTGGACTGGAATCCCGCCCACACTTTCACAGCGAACCGCATGGTTTTTATGTTAAATTAATAGCAGCTGTGGTCGAAGCCTTTGTTTAAGCGGCCGCCATCTTAGCCGGTCTTCGCTCTGACTCCACTCAAACAAAAACATATCGAAAACTATAAAATGACTAACAAAATAAATGATAAATAGCCATAGACAATCGGTAACATTATATACAAAAGGTGGAAACGTTAAAATTGAAGCACTGTACTTGCAAAGAATAGCCAGTTGGCCGACAGCATGAGCGTTCAAAAACATGTCCTCTTCCGACTACAGTATAGTAGACTAAAGAGTAGTATGACTTCGAGATATTCACACCAGTAAAAAAACTGTACTCTCTTCTGGTGAATATAAATAATGGCCATTTGATTTAGTAAAAGACGGAGTACAGTGCAATTGTTGACCCACATCTTGTGCCACAAAGCACTTATAATAATCAAAACGACTTATACGTGAACATGTTTTTATAAGATATAAACAGTGAATTGCAAGTAATTGCAACGATTATAGGTTAGAAAACTAGTCATGCTTACTGCTCACCTTACAAAAGTAGTTATAGTACACAGAACTTGACGTTTGTACATATAAAGCAATGACGTAGTAGATAGTTTGTTGGCTGCTTGAACACGATATACTGAATGTCTCAAACTAACGAGATGACCCATTTACAGAAGAAGTACCCACACAAAATGATGACGTCACAATTACTCGACCTTCAAAGGAAGTCTTTTGTCTAATATATACGAAGTGATCACACCGTGACACCCGAGGAAGACATCATTCAACACTAGCAATAACACAATGACACGGGTAAGAGGTCGTATATTATGACAGACAAACACGTGAAAATTAAACACATTGTACATACACAAAAAACAACTTTTAATGTATCCTTAAAGCGTTTATTGATAGAACGTTCACGGAATAATGCAACAAATTGAAACACTTTATTTTGACGCATTTCGGAAACACCTAACATAGAGAGCGCGAATTAACATGGAATAAAGATGGCGAATTATATTTTCCAGTGTAAGTCATGCTGGTCATGTACGAATGAATTAAATACGACATACACTTTTAGAGCCAATGTCCTACGTATATGTCTGTAAAAGGTATGTAAAAGATTTACTTCATAAATAACTCAATGACCATCCCACACAAATACGAGTGATAATTGTTGACACAAACAGTATGGGCAAAAACATCTATTTTATAGTATTATTATTGAAGTCAATTTGCATATGTATATTTGAAATTGTGCTGGCATGTCAATTACTCGTTGTCATTCAAAAGGTAATTGTCACCTCCTACTGCTGTATATGATGCGTTGTGCATGGGCACAAAGTTTAGTTATACAATATTATGTAATACGTGCATAGCTTGGGGTTGAACACACCTCTACATAGGATGCTTTTTAGCATGATTTTTACTATTGAACTGGGGCAGATCCGGATTGTAAACTGTTTACAAATGAATTAGTATATTTGCTGCCGAAATTGTTACTGTCATTTTTTTCAGGAATCGTGAATTATTTTTAATTATTTTCTAAATTTTCATTATAGGCAGGGAGAGGAAACATATGTTTGTCGTGTATGTTCTACTTCACTGTAAATGCACGCAGAGTTCATACCACCATTTTACCTATCAACATTCAAAGCACGCTCAATTTATCTGGTTCTTATTTGCTAATGAACCTTCCGCTTATCATCTGAAACGCTATGTACTAAGGCGCACATCAATTACGTTGGCTGCTGTGGTTGGACTGTTGTATGACAGTTTGTTTAAAATATGACCTGCAATTAAAGAGATCATTATGCAGTGGTGATTACATTTATGTACTATAATGATGTATTCCCCCTAAAAGTCAAGAGTGCGTATAGCAGGATGGTATATTGCACATCTTTCATCGAAGAAAACTGAATCCTCAGAAATAGTTGTGCAGACTTAATACGTTTATTACTCAGTTCTCTTTGCTCTCCCAGGATTCTTCTGAACACCTCTAACAGAACATTGTGTCCTTCTCTTTAGAATTATATAGGCAACTGACAAACAGTTGTGATACCTGAAACCATAAACTATTGGTGTGTTTAAAGAAGACCAGACATGAACACGGCTGTGTTGATGGGAATAGCATTACATTACACGATTATGGTAAACCAATTTTTGAGTAATAAGTAGTGAATACATTTTTTAATAACGTAAAATATATGTTGGGGTAGAAGTTTTTTTTTTATATGATAACACATATGTATTAAATGAGATTATAAAACTACTGTGAACTTCTTGTGATATTGAATGTGATTGGGGTAAAATGTATTTCCTTAATCCAATCATTATATATTTTAATGGGTTCCATGGCAGCAGGGGTTACGTCAAGAAGTAACTTGTACCCGACATCAACTGGCGACGTGAAGAACGAAAGTTCTATATGATTACTCATTCAAATATCATACTTTGAATCATACTTTGAATCATACTTTGAATCATACTTTGAATCATACTTTGAATCATACTTTGAATCATACTTTGAAACTAAGAATCCCTAGATGGACAGACAGATACACAAACATATTTGACATTCATTGTTAAACATTAAAAAATTATCTAAATATCCCAAGGCAGGAATTAATTGTACTACTTATATTGTGAGATGTTTATTTAAGATTTCAGATTATGGCTAAAGTTGCAAATTGAATATATTCACGTTCAGTTGAAAGTGCGGGTGAAAATGTTAAAGTGCATTTTGGCACCTCTTAACAACCTTACACAATATAGTAGCAAGCGGATAAATAATACAATTAGTGTCTATTTTGAAAACTCCTTCTATATTCTCACTTTCGGACCAAAGAACTTCTTACAATTATGTTGTGACGTTAGGCTTCTAGTTAGTGAGACACTATACAACATGGAAACATAACATGTCAGATGCAACACTAAAGAATCCCGGTCTGTTTTCTTGTCTCGAGAGACATAGTTCTTGATATTAGTACTTTGCTCATTTTTCAGAATACTTATTTATACGTTTCATTTTCTCATCACATTTATCAACTTCAGCTCCGGATATATAAACTTTGATACCTTTTCTATTTCTGTACATGCTATGCTGATTTTAACTTATTGTTTATTGGCTGTCTTACGTATTGTTTTTGTTGTCTTGACATTTATTTTATATTATATTTTTTTCTGCTATTGCCTAAATGTAGGATAGTATGGTCTGTATTGCATACCTCATGTTGGTGATGTTAAAACAACTTATTTTAACGCTTTTGTAGTCTTAGATGTGTCTAAAGATCTTCCTGTCTAAATTGAAAAATAAAACACTTTGAAAGTACACACCCTTGTCCAACTCCCAGCTTGATCTGGATTTAATCTCTTATCAGATATATACTTTCTGTGTCAAGTATAAGTATCAATCATTCTTACATCTTTTCCATTTACTCCAATGTCATTTAGGCATTCTATTTCTCACGATTAACACGACCAAAAGCTTCATTTCGCAATAGCGATTATTAATCATTGTCAAATTGAATACTCCCTGTTGAGTCTCCTTCCCGAATATAAATCACTTTGCACTTATTAAGACCAATTTCAATACACGACTTCTTAAACATAACGTTCTGTGGTATGTGCATGTTGTTGCATTCGGTTTCATTGGCAAACTGACAAAAATATTTCTTTTACAAGACTATGTATGAGTTCTATTCCAGCTCATGCCTTTATCATTTCTCCACTGAGAGCATGTATACTATTTATAATAAAGCATTTTGTATACACGAATGTATAACTAGGCAACATGTCCTCAAGGGTTTGTCAAACCATTGTCAAATAAAAAAAACAAAATTTAGCTGCTATATATGTGGTAAGATAAACATTTTATTATAAACCATATAAAGCATACAAGCCAAAATGTTTACTTTTATTAAATGCAAACTATGCAAATATCATATATTGTCATAGATAATACTATGTACACACGTAATTTTATTCGTCAATGGTATGTATCCACCATGTGATTGAACTGTTATTGTCATGTCATCACGTGCAATAAGGCATTACGTTGACTCTTTTCTAACAACAGCAATTACAGTCTGGAACATCCATTTTGCTCGCCCATCTTTAGTCTTCTCACAATTCGACTCGGCTTGGAGTAAAACATCTTCCAAGAATTCGACTTTGAGGTCCTCAGGTATACACTCTAGCTGGGTCAGAAAACCTTTAATGAAAGCTAAAAAAAATAGCAAAGGTGACATACCGGTAATGTCCATGAAGGATTGATGTGACAATATATATATGGTCTTTATTTACAAGTTAAAGTATATACAAAATATTATT